ACTCTCCTACTCGGGACTCGACCGAATCCGCTGGAGAGTCGATCAGAAAGCGGATATTAACCGGATTACTTCTTCAACGAGCATTACGATTGGGTCCGATGTGCGTTCCGCAAGACGTTCCGCGGAATTGTCCTGAGATGGTGCCGCGATCGATATTGCGAGAAGAAGCTCGGAAAGATTAATCGCTCGAGGAAGGCAACGAAGAAAGATGGAGGCGGAGGAGAGGACGCGCGTCGTCCTATTCTACGCGCTTACGTTACGTTACCGATGCATCGATCAATTCTCCTGCGAAATTATACGGCGGATCGTTCCTCTCGCCTACGGAGAGAGGCTCTTCCGGCTAATTGAATCATCCCACCTAATTTCCCGCATCACCGAGAGGGACGCTGCAGAGAGCGGCTGCAACGAGAGGCTGAATACGTCGTCCCGAGGTAGGAAACGAATTCCGGAATAAAGGCCGGCGGCGAGTTGGCTTGGCGTTCGTCACGCCCACGGAGTTTTCTCCAAAGACCTTTCGGAGAGGGTCGTACATTCTGGACTATCGATCGATGGAAGCCGCGGACATTAATTGAAAAATGGTAGCGGGAAACGCGCGTCTCTCTACCGAAACGTCCGCTCGACGCCTGCATTCTCGCATGGTCGTCGCGTTCTATTATTTCCAACGATATACCGAAAGCGCCCGCCAGGTTCGCCTCCGTGTGGGGAAACCTTCAGATTTCTATCTCCGTTTCACGGAGTTAATAATTAGCTACTCGCCGGCGGCGTCGTTCTATAGATAATAATCGATTCTCCATGCGATTTCCATTCCACTTAACATAGACCTTCTGCTTCTTGTCGCTCGACGTAAGAAAGCAACACCGATCTTCCCCGCTGCCCACGGCGAGATCGGGAACAGCGTTTCTTCTGGACGCGAAGGAAAACGTGTAGAGGAAACGTGATAACGCGATCTCGTTCGTCGATTATCGTCATCAATTATCGTAACGATCGAGGAATCGATCGTTGAGCTGCCTATCCTCGCGCGCGATGGAAAGAGAGGGACTCTTCGCGCCGCATCGGCGCGATTCGGCGTCGCAAACATCGGGTTGTTTATCAGACGATTCACGGTTACTTTAGGAAGCGATTTTTCATGTGATCGGAATCGGCACGTCGCGTCGCGCCATGTCGCATCGCGTCACGTCGGTCACGATGATGGATGTCCGAACGGAACCGATTGCGAAAGATCTCGCATTATCTAACCACGTCGCCGAAGCGTGATTGCGACGTGCCGAACAATCGTGTCCTTCACATACCGTCGAATGTGCGAGCCCGTCGTGTCCTTCGAAACATCGGTCGTCGTTTCAGCTTTCTCGCCCTCGAGGCGAAATTAGCAAAGAGACGTTTCTCTCCTACGCGCTTCCCTTCCTCTCGTGAATCCCCTCGAGGGAGAATACGTTAGAAGAGAAACACCGGGGCCTTTCCTTCGTCCTCGAGTTGCGGATGGCCCGAGGAATTCCACGATGACGATTAAAGGACTATCCGAACGGATGATGTCAGCTTAGGAGAAAAAGAGAAAGAACGGCGCGATAAACGACAATTTACAGTCGAGGAGAGCCAAGGTTTTTGAAACACGCGCGAAGGAGTCTAAGAGAGTACGTTATATAATTTTATACCTTGGATAATTAATTAATGCGATAACGGTGTCGCCTCGAGGATATAATTTTTCAAGAACAATACGGGAATACGGAGGCGCCGCGCGATCGCCAAGCGAGACATTTCTCCCGCGCGCGAAAATTCACAGCGGCTGGAAAATTCACGAGCGTTCCCTCGAGCGGATTCCCCCTCGCTGGGAAATGCTCTTCTTCGAGAGAACGACAATGGCGCTTGCGAAATATTCGCACGTCGCACATGCCGTAACCGGCCGCGAGTGCATACCGAAACACAACAACAGAAGCGGCATAACGTCACGACTCGACCGGCGCAGGTGGTATTGCAGGCCGTCAATTTACTTTCCATCCATCTCCGCAATTGTAACGGCTATCGTAACAATTCACCGTCGGCACGGCGATGTTGCTCCTCTCTATATTTGTCCTTCGTCTTTATGCAACGCGCGCGTAACGCAATTTTTCCGATAAATACGTAAATACGAACGGTAAAACGTCGCGCGGCCGCCGCGGGGTCTCACGACCGACCTAGATTATATTTGCGATCCCGTTTTAATTGCATTTTATCTCGCGTTTTCCTATCGCACGAGGATTGCTCGTGCTCTGTTTGCGAGGAATCGCGGGACCGTCCTTCCGCGTCCTCGAGGAGAGTTTGAGATTCCACGGGAGAGAATGGAACTCCATCTTATCTTCCGCGCGAGCACGTTATTTTTTTTTCTCCTCAAACTTTCCAATGACGTCACGCGGTGCATCTCATTGTTTATTAAAAGGCCTAGGCGACGTCTATCCTCCGGCCGGCCTTCACCCGGTTAACTTCGCTCGCCCGTCGGAAACTCAATCGACGCGCGCGGAAAATCCGCGAAGGCACGTTTTAGGCCTCGTCGTCAGCTTGCGCGCCGGTCGCGTTGACGCGTGAAAAATCGACGTGGGGGAGAAAAAAAAAAAATCTCGCTCCCTCGCGCGAGTAACGAACTAACTCTCCGGAATTTACCATTATAATGACGACGGGAACACGCGGCGAAATGTAGGACGCGAGTGTGTCGCGCACTCGTCTCGAAAAGTACAATTGCCGAGATAATTGCTGGAATTAGCATGCAAGCGAGCGGGCCGTATTAGCGGCGCGCGAGACGTGAAATAATTTAATTCAGCTTCCGTACGTCAAGCAAGAACCGCTGTGCTCGCAGTGAGTGGTGGACGAAAGAGAAAAGTGAGCGAGTAAGTCGGTGAGCGACAGTGCAAAAGAGAGAGAGAAAGAGAGAGAGAGAGAGAGAGGAAGAAAAGAAAAGAGTAGTTATTAGTAGTAGTTATTATTTATCTACTTTCCTTTTTCCTTTCGTATTACGAAGGTACGGCGCTATTCGTAGGTTGCGGAGGTCGTACGAAGACTCGATACTTCTCGTGTGTCTTATCGTCGGATGGAACGGGAGACGAAGGAAAGGCGGTAACTCCTAACCGTTTCCTGCGAATAACGAATAACGTGAGCGCCTGTGAGCGCCAGCGTAACGTTAAAACGCTCTCTCTCTCTTCTTCGAGAGAGAGAGAGAGAGAGAGAGAGAGAGAGAGAGAGAGAGAGAGAGAGAGAGAGAGAGAGAGAGAGAGAGAGAGAGAGAGAGAGTGAGAGCGTGCGTTCGCGGCATATTAGATTCTTATATATCCGTGCCAAGGATAATCATACGATATCCCCGGCCATGTGGTATCCCGGCCTCGCGCGCGTCACGAGTAGGATTCACCGAGGCCTCTTCTTATCTATCTTACATGCCGCGAGTGAAGGAGAGGCGGATGATTTACGGGTTCGTCGAGCCTACCGCGCCACGCGCGTTTCAACATCGTCCCTTCGTAGATCTTTCGTCCCACGTGAAAAGGCCGAAAGGGACAGAGGTCTCTCCAGGGTCTCTCCTGTAATAGTCGCAGACGAGTAGGGCGAAGGTGCGTCATCCTACTTTTGCTACCGTCCATCTTCCGGCGGTGCGAGTAATAAACGGATGCGCTCTGGCGTGCGCGAATTAAACTGTTTATGGACGGATTATGCATTTTAGACTTCTGTTTCAAGCACCGGCTGTAATCCCGACACTAATCCGACGTTGCCCGCTTTAGCTGAGCCGCTTTCCACGCATGCGTTTCCGTTTCTCGTCTATATCAACTAAATTTGATCCGCATTAGATATCTCCCCGCACATAATGCAACGTAACGGGTAAACACAGAACCATTTCGTTCCGCGGCGGACTTGCCTGTCGATAACGCCATTCCATTGTACCATGCGTCTCTCGCGCATAGACGGGGGAATATATTGTAATTAAAAAAAAATCTATGTACAAAATAAGGATAATCCCTCTCGGCGCGGCAACACATCTGTCGATCACAATGATACATCGCGTTTTGCATCGCGTTGCAAAACAAGCTTTAAGCGGATATAACCCCGGGAATTCCACAAATTAAACCCGATCTCATTTGCGCGCGCCCGACAAGGTTCGCCCAAATTCCCGGGGCTCTTCTGAAATCAAAGTAAATTCCTGCGGAAGCTAACCTGGATTTATACGAGGCCAATAGGCTTCGTTAAATATGTATCCCATCGAGCTTTCCCGATGTCGGCCGAAATTCCCGCGTCGACCGATAAACAAGCTCTCGCTGAAAAAAAGTGGATTTAAAAGCGCACTGAGAACTCTGAACGTTGTGTGTCGCACGCGTTCCGGTATAAATGGATAAAGGCATATGTCCTTTGCCGAATAATA